AGAGAGAGAGAGAGAGAGAGAGAGAGAGAGAGAGAGAGAGAGAGAGAGAGAGAGATGGCGATCGCCATTGCGAATGTGGACAAGGCGACGGTGGAGGATGTGCGGCGGATGATAAACACCCTAGTGAAGGGGCACAACAACAACTTGAGTGTAAAGGCGGAAGCTAATCAATGGTTGACTAGTTTCAAAGAATCCCGTAGAGTGTGGGATGTGGGAGTGCACGTGCTGGAGTCCGCGACGGAGGAAGGAGAAGGCTATCAGATAGCCAACATCTTGCTTGCCAAAGTGAGAGCAGAATGGCATCAGCTCCCTGTTAATCTTCAGGTTGAGCTGTCTGCTCGTCTGTGCCATTGTTTGATGGGCTACGCCTCCGAGGAACTTTCTTCCAAGGTCGTCGTGCAGCGCGTGTGCTTAGCTCTGGCGGCTATGGCGGCACGCACTCCGCACGAGAGCGTCGGCCCATCAGGACACCCTCTATCGACCCCGTTGTATCTCGAAAACACGTTCGGCTTGGCGCAATCTGCAACGATGAGCGAGAGGCATAACGAGCAAGCCCTGGCGGTGGCGTTGTCGTTGTTGTCAGCGGCGGCCGAAGAGTCAGACCAGTTGGATGGATCGTGCAAAGCACCGGTGCTTGCAGCGATGAGAGAGAGGATCGTAGATGTTCTTCGTATGTTGGAAGTGATACTTAGCAGCAGTAATCAGAATCAGACGATAGAAGAGGCCTGTGGAGAAGGGGGGGGAGACAGGCAGGCAGCGCAAGATTTCTTGTCAGCGGACGGAGGGGGTGGGGAAGTAGGAGGTGGTGGGGTAGGATTAGCAGGAGGAGGATGTAAGAAGGGAGATCGACTCATTGTACCATCTCTTCATTTATTGCATTCTTGGTTGAAGTTGGATTACACCGGCGAGGGAAGACCGATCATAAGCTGCGGCGAATTCTGTAAATCCTATCCCGCCCTTTGGCGGTTTTTGTTGCAGAGCTTGGGTTCTGAGAATAGGCAGGCGTTCGAAGTAGTGGTGGAGATTCTTGTGGACCTTTTGACCGAAGACGTAGGGGATAAGTACTTATTTACGCGAGAGACGGATCATTGGGCGCCGACGATGGCCATTCAGGGAGTGCTGGCGCAAAGAGGGCGGCTGATCGATTGCGTCGAAGATGATGATGGCTTTCGTTATGGATTTAACGATCTAGCCACTGGATTCGCCAAGGTCGTAGCCGCGGCCATCGATCGATGCGTTGGTCCGGTCATTAGCTCGGATGAGATGATTGCTCTGCAGGAAATGATGCTTGATTGCGGCCAGTTTGGCGATCTGGCAGTTGCAGAAATAGTCAGTGAATTATTTCTCAGCTTTTACAACAACGAACTCATGTCAAGGATCGAGCAAAGCATACAAGTCCAACTGTACGAGAGACTCATGGACGTTATCTTGGAGAAGGTACACAAACATAGCGCGCATTAACTCTTCAACTTCTACGCTTCCACCCTTCTCCTGAATCATCTTTTTCACGTTCTTCCCCTG